ACATCTGCGTCACTGTAGTTGCTGCAGGAAATCACAGAGATTCATAAATCCTGATTTCTTCATAAAAAGATTTTGAATAATAAATGAACGGCAAATGACTTTGGAACAGTCCAAGAAGATTTAGGCAATTGTTAAATGGTGATATTTTAAAGACCTCATGAAATCAAAATTGTAAGTCTTGCAGCAGAATAGAACAAAAATATTAATAACACATTAATGCTTTCTTTCCTTTCCCAACAATCAATTTTTTGCAAAAGATGTTGCTTGAATTTATTGCTTTCATTTACAACACAATGTCAAATGTGATTTTTTTTTTCCAGATTGTGATTTAAACTAAAGGCTATTGGCCATTTTAAACAAAAACATCTCACCCCACTTTCCTGTTTTAACAGGAAACACATCAACACTGTGCTTAAAACATTTCACGGGAGCTTTTGTATTGACATAGGAAACAGGTTCAAGACAAAAATAAAAGACAGAAAAAAAGCACAGATATTCTTGATGCTGAACCCAAAAGTGCATTATAATCCCCACAGATTAGGGAACTATGGATTAGGATTTTTAAATTACTGCTGAGGGAAACCTCATGAGTTTTATACATACACAACTACAGTGCAGCCCACAGTACATTCCTCACAAAAAAAGGAAATGCAGGCTCAGATAGTGCACATATAAAGGCACGAAAATCACCATGGAGATGATTTCCCAGAGAGTCACACGCTGTTGAGGTGACAAGTCTCAATTTCTAACACGACATTTTTAGACCCATAAAAATGTTGCATTTTCTTAGCTTGAGCACCTCATTAAAACACACAAACCTGACTATAAATGTATAAATGTACATTGACTATTTTTATGTTTAACTGTCTGATAATCATACGTAAAACTAATATTTCATCATTTTCTGCTTTGACACATTAAAGGGGTCATGAACTGCCTTTTTTTATTATTTTGTACTGTTCTCTGAGGTCCACTTATAATGTTATCAAGATTTTTAGATCAAAAAACATCATAATTTAGAAGTAATAGGCTATTTTCTGTCCCGTTTTGACCCCCTCATCGGAACTCTCTGTTTAAATAGCCGGATTGTAGACACGGAAGTAAACACCACTAGTATGATTGGCTAACATTTGTGTATGTTTGTCAGGCTACATGATGGACGCTGCTGTGATTTAGGTTAAAAACGCATAAATACTCAGTGCATATCAAACAATCTGTAATAATAATAGACAAAGCAATAGTGACCAAGTAATAAAAACAGTTATTTACACTTGTGTGATGCGACATTACTGTCGGATCCAACATAATCGGTACAGAATCGTCTTTTAATTTCAATCTTTCTGAAAATTGTGCCTTGTTTGTAAACAAATATGCGGTAAAATGAAGTGAACAAAGGACCAAGTTCTTACTGACGCGGTCTGGAACTTCATTAAAAATAAAGTTCATCAACTCTTTCCTAATGTAGGGATTAGAAGGAAGGCAATGCAGACTGTTTTTCCACATCTTGGCACTGCACAGCGTCTTGTTGTCTTCGGAGCCATCTTTATAGTTTAGTTTCTGCATAGACATGCGCAAATCGGTGGGTGGAGCTAAACAGGCAGTGATGTAGAAGCAGGGGTTGATCTTTTGTGGAGGCGGAGTTTAGCCACACTATTACATCATAAAGTGGCACATTCCATAAACTGTTGTTCTGGCAGAATGGCTTCAATATAAGCTGTTTTTAGACTAATGAGAAAGTTTTGAGTTCTGAAACTTACAGTATGTTTTTATAGTACAATGACCTCTTATATGTCAAAAAATCAAGGGAATTTTGATTTCTCAATTCATGACCCCTTTAATAACTACATCACTTATCACTTACCTCTGAACAGCTTTCTTTACTTGACTAATACTGTGCATTTGCAACAACTAATGAATGTAACCAGTTTTACTAGTATCATATACTTGTCCAAGACTCTTAATTTAATGCTACCTAAAATTAAAAGTGTTCTAGCATCGGAAACCCAGAAGCATATTCTAATGCATCACAACGTCCTGTTCATCTATGTTTTTCATTATGTCTAAATGTAGTGAGAAACACTATATTAAAGAACAAAAGCATAAATATCAATTTAAAATGTCAGCCAAACCAATTATAGGTTTACCTCTAGCAACAACACAACTTCACAATCTTTTTTTTATGTCCTTTCAGCCATGCAGCGGGTATCTAACACTTGCCAAAGCGGATGTCACAGAGCCAATCTTAGCCAGTTTGAGACACATGGGAATGGATTCACAAGACGTCCGTAGGGTAGGGACAGTCAGGCCCATGAAACTGTCTTTGGTGGACAAGATACAGATGCAGATACAGGAAATTACGGCATGCATCACTTTGATCCTCCATCTTCTTAAAAACACAGTGTCAACTGGTGAAAAGCTTGGTTTTTGTATTTCGGAATCAAATTCATTTCAACACACCAATCAGTTTAAACAATTGCCTGATGCACCCTTCCTAAAAGCTCAAGTAATCTCATGAAAGATTATGAAATGTTATCTTTTAAACATGTTATCTTGTAGCTTTTTAATTACCATATAAAAAGCAATGTTTCATTTACATTTAATCATTTAGTAGGCGCTTTATCCAAAGTGAATTACAAATGAGCAACACTGCAAGAAATTTATCCTAAACAGAGGGAACTAAAGGAAGCAATCTGACTTCATAAAGACTATGCACACAAATTCTAAAATGAAAAGTTGTGCAAAACAGGAAGACGCCACACTGCAGATACCACATGCAAAACAATCCCTACTACAATCCCAGAAAACCATGCTGAAAAATTATGCATGCAATAAATGACTAAGCTTGTTAAACACACTTGCTTATTTATTTAATGTATAACAAGGCATTTTTTAGGTCTGCCCTGGATCTCCAAATAAGATCTGTAAACACACCGTAATCCCAAATGACTGTGATACATGTTAGCCTGTGATAACTTGCATACATGTTAGCATTCCAAACACACTTTTGTACGCATCCATCTACTGCTAAGCCAATATGCTTTCATGGAATAGTACACTGGAGAAAGCTATATTATGGATAGAGGACTCATCAGCTTTAAGTTAAAAACGTCTTAAAGACGAATTATGTTTTATTACAAACATGTAGTTTTTCGCTTCACCAGATGTTAATTGATGGACTGGAGTCATGTGGATTACTTGTGGATTATTGACTGTATTCACTGTATGGCCTGAGGGTGAGTAAATTATCAGCCAATTTTCATTTTTTGGTTAACTATTCCTTTAAAATCAGGTGATGTTCAGAAAGACTGACAATCAGTCCTTAAATGTCTGGTCTACTGATATTCTGCATCATTTGTGTCTCCAAAAATAAAGCACTCTTCAATGTCATTACACCACTGTGCATTCAACAGTAAACAGTAGCGTTTCAAAGGTAAAGTTAACTACTTATTTGGATTGTTAATTAATGGATTGTTTACACAAATGACTCCTTACATAATTCATTCTCAAGTGAGAAATGCAAAGCATTTTAGGCTTCTCAGCCCTAGTCACACTCACAGCCCAAAACAAAAAGTAAAAAATAAATATGCAACCACTTAGATCGCAAAACAGCTGCGTGCAGTATGTCATGGCATAACTAATAATAACTATATCAGAATTTTTATGTATATATATAAATTGAATATATTATATTAGATAAATATTTAAATAAACTATTTTCATTATATTTATGTTTTGCAATCTAATAACAATAAAAATAAAACATCGGTTCTGCACACTGGTTATTATAACAAAAACAATCAGGACTGAATGAAAAAATAATATTAGTAGATCTCTAGTTATACAATGTTCCAGTGAATAAAATGTGACAATAGAAGCAGGCTTGCAAATCGTTTGGTTGGAGGACAAGACGATTACGTCATCATCTGCTCTTCAACACTCCTGCTGATCTTAAGAGTTTGTGGTCTTTTAAGGGGGTACTCGGAGAGGTTCTGTCAATGCATTGTCCACTTCTTTGTAATCACCCTCTACACACCAAAACAAACCTAATATAAGCTTTTATTATGTCACATCAGCAGGTGCCCCGGGGGCTCAATATCACGTCTTATGCATGAATTATTAAGGGCCAAAGAATATTCTTAGCGCCTTTGGGGTTTCCAGTAAATCAGCAGGGAAGACCCCCGACCTGATGCTTTACCCCCAACCCCCTTCATTCAATGCATTCATGCACTGCCCGCCTAAAAACACTAATTCCAAAGCATATGCATGCAAAACCAATGCGCGTTAAACACCCCATTTATCCAGCGATTGTTCGCTAGATGCATCTAAAACATGCTGAGCTAACATTTAAGCAAAAATAGCAATGCACATTCTCATGCACCCGAGTGACAACATGCATGACGCTTGCGTTGTAAATATCTGAAAACATACACTGTGCAAATAAACGCACAACCACCGGTGCATTTCAGGTTACATCACTTATACAGCCAGTTTCTGTTGACCATCGATTGACATCCTAACAAACCACGTTTATTACATTCATCTACAACATCATCCAGAACTATTATAGAGCTGGTCTGATCTAATCTGACAGATTTGCATGCAGCTCTCTGCTACAAACAGCAAGCACCGATTTTAGCCCGGTAAATGACCGGCTCGTGCATGGTAAGAAACGTTTTAACGTAAAACGAAAAGGCCAGTGTTGAACAGCAACCGGGACTCAGCTAGAAGGGTCCACATTTTATTCATACTAGACTATTTATGCTTTACTTCACCTCCAACATAGGCATAACCTGCCATTACCTGACTCAAAAATGCATGAGATAAGTCATAATAAAGCTCGCCGTTCCAGAGCCACTGAGACACAAAAACAGATACTATATGACAGATCAAGCGCACGTTTCTTTACTATAACAATCTCGCGAGCTGGGGGAATGGATCTCGCGGCACGGACAGACAGGAGACCGTGCGGCCTGTGCTCGCTGGCGGCTCCGCGGACTCACCTCGGTCGGTTGGCTGATCTCGAACAGGTCGAGCCGGTTGGCGTTCCAGTGGTTGATGATGTCGGCGAGTTTCCGCCGCTCCTCCTCTCGGCTCCCCGACATTCTCAAATCCAGACTAATTCTAGTCAAGCCGGAGAGAGAAACAATCCGCCTTTTTCCTCACTGGTGCGGTTTTATCCACTCAAACGGGCTTCTTATCCGACGACCTGAAATAAAAGTAAATGTTACACCCAGATACTGGGCTTTCAAACGCGGTTTCTGCGGTGAGTGTCGCTCTTTCCTGCAGTCGCCGGCTAATGCGCCTCAGCTCTATCGTCAACCGCTTGCACTGTTTCCGCGTTCCCGACTCTTGTCTTATCGCGCTCCGTGCGCGCTCCCTGTGGCAAAGCGCTGGGACTGACTGGAGCTGTGCGCGCGCCCGCTGTACTCCACACAAAATTCACGAGGGACGCTGACGGGAACGCGCAATAAGATTTCGGTAGGCTACTATTAGATGGATAGCCTAAATGTCCTAATTCAGATGGGCTACCGTTTTTTGTTTTTTTAATGGTATATCAAAATAAATCAAAAGTGTATATTTTTAAAATGTGATTGTTGGTACATTTTACCAGTTTTTACCATACTTTCAAAACAAAAATTAAAATAGGAAAAATATGCAATATGAAAATAATTGAAGACAAAATGTGTTTTACTGAGAAAAAACAAGATTTGGTTTTTAAAAAGCCTTTTTCCGAAAGGTACATCTGGAAAAAGGGGGGTCGTCTTATAATCGGGTCAATACGGTAATGATAGAAACTTCTCGTGCCAGGCACTTGCTGCTCCATTCACAATACTTTCGTGTGTACGCGGATGTCGTTCGATAAAATTATATATTTATTTTTTTTTCGAACTAGTTTGACGCGATAAAAGTAGAGATTAAATGTCCTAATTCAGATGGGCTACCGTTTTTTGTTTTTTTAATGGTATATCAAAATAAATCAAAAGTGTATATTTTTAAAATGTGATTGTTGGTACATTTTACCAGTTTTTACCATACTTTCAAAACAAAAATTAAAATAGGAAAAATATGCAATATGAAAATAATTGAAGACAAAATGTGTTTTACTGAGAAAAAACAAGATTTGGTTTTTAAAAAGCCTTTTTCCGAAAGGTACATCTGGAAAAAGGGGGGTCGTCTTATAATCGGGTCAATACGGTAATGATAGAAACTTCTCGTGCCAGGCACTTGCTGCTCCATTCACAATACTTTCGTGTGAACGCGGATGTCGTTCGATAAAATTATATATATATTTTTTTTTTCGAACTAGTTTGACGCGATAAAAGTAGAGATTTCTTCTTTTAATACCCAAGAGCTTTAAAGTGATATTCCCCCTCCAAAAAAATCGAAAATTCCGTCGAATGTATTCAAGCTTATATAGTCTACATATAAAACATAATTTGTTTTGGAACATAAGCTTGAATAAATTTTACAGAATTTTCTTTTTTTGGGGGTACATGTATGTTTGTGTATTTATGTATACATAATAAATATACACAGTACACACACATATATTTTGTAAACAAAAACTTTTAATTTTGGATGCGATTAATCGCGTAATATTATATATATAGCTGCTTAGTCAAACAGCATCATGATAGACCTGACATGGCCAGCTGTGCACATCTGTAAAGCGATCAGCTCAGTGGTGTAGTGGAGGATACCCACTTCTTTATCAGTCGGCTTTGCGTAGCCTATACCCACTTCTAAATCCCCTCTGATGCGCATCATTCATTAGTGTCCTGCATTAGGCAAAATCATGACAGTCCACCACATGAATAGCTAATCCAATCACATGAAAAAAATACAAATATTCCATAAAAACAGCCAGTAAAGACAATGATGCGGTCAGGACCGTGGCGCCGGCTTCCTTTGAAATAAGTTTGATGATTGCGCCTGCGCCCTCCCCCGCTCCGTCAGTCAGAGAGGATGCCGACTGCCGACAGTGACAGAGACACTGCTTCTTCATGCGCGAGAGCATGTCAGGGGATACGCATAGTGGTAAAATACACTCTACGTAAATTATTATTTTCAGCGTGTATTTGGTTTAAAAGCACGAGTGTTGTACTGGATGGTGACTGAAGGTGTTTTAGATTATGCGCTGGTAGTTATTCTGAATGGATCAAATTTTAATTTCATAATGATTCTTACTCCGTGAAGTCAAGCAGCAGAAGTTAAGTGACAATATGCAAATACTACTGGCCCATTCTGGCCCCACGTCACTGTTTAAAACACATGTCATGGGGCATAAATTAAGAGTATACCCACTTCTCCAGGCACCACTACACCACTGAATCAGCTGAATGAAGCAGGACAATCCACCATATAAAACTAATGCAATATGAGCCTGTAACATCATTGTCTTAGAACTCTGAATTATAATTCAGATGTAGACTGTTGAAAGACCTAGACTATTTTAAATCAGTTGTCCTTTCCAAGATATGGTTTTTCAAAACCCTTGGTCCTAAGTATTAAACATTGCATAACTCATCCCAGCCCGTTTGAGCTATAGACATTAATGATAGCCTACCTGAAATCGTGTGGCTTGTCTAAGTGATCTGACTTCTGCACATTCTTCAGAAAATGTAAAAATATAGTCAGATTTCCTCATGCTTTGGTTAATAACCGAATTGTTGCTAACATGTTAACACAATAGACTTGTGCCGGTATTCGGTAATGCGATATATCACGGTAATGTTATTTAATGAGCTAACATGAACTAAGACTTGTATTTTTTTAACAAAGATTAATAACTTCTGTAGCAAATGTAGCTATTGCTCATTGTGAATGTTAATGCATTAACTAAGGTTAACTAATGAGGTTTTATTGTAAAGTGATACCTATTGGTCTTTATAGTTCTTTTGCACTTTAATCTGTGTAAAACTTTTAACTTTATACATTTTTCTGTATTGCTTTATTGCATTTAAATGTTCAGTTATTTTTGTTATAAGAAAAATTTATTAAACCTGTTATACTGTATTATGAAAGCACTTTTTTTTAAACAAAATTTCAATATCGTGATAATACCGTATGCCGTGATAAAAGCATTGGCAATTAATCGCAACATGAGAATTTGATACCGGCATATCCCTATAAACACAATGGCCTAAATCAAAAGGTCAGACAAAACCGATGCAAAAAGCATCAATAATTTACATTTTGTCTGGTCTCAGTTTTACAACGCTGTAGGAAGATTCTGTCTAGCACTGCACTTTGGTGGTCTGGAGAGCCAGACATCAATTGTCAATTTGAAGGGCAAATTAAAGAGAAGATATGTGGCAAATAAATCATCATTTGCTATCTACTGTATATGTGTGTTGTGAGTCAGCATTCTTTGTGGTAGGTTTCTTCACCTCAATCTATCTATCTTATTTCATATTGATACAGATCCTGGGACAGAAACTGACAAAGCACAACTGGAAAGATCTTATTAAAAGTACTGTAAGTGATTCTTTTGAATACCACACATAAAAAAAATCCTTACTACCTGATCAGCAAAAAATGTGTCCTGAGAAATCACAACTGTCCCTGTGACTGTGCTCAACTCTGTAAATAATCTGAAAATATTCAGGAAACTAACCATCTGAAAATATCTATTGTAAAATAACACTTTCAATGTATATGCTGAGAGAGAATTTCTAAATTCTAATACCAATAAACTGCTATTTTTATCACAAAGAACAAACCTGGACCTTTCCAATAAATAAATATATATTTGTAAGTGCATTTTCTACATATTGTTGCCCAAGCAACAGTTACCTGGTACTAATTTTACAAGAAGGTATTCATTCATTATGTCTCATATTAATAATTTTTCTGCTTCTGTTTTAGTGGTAATATGGAAGCCTGTTATCTCCATCTTGTCATGTTGACTTGTTTTCTCCAAATTCCCAATTCTGTCAGAATTACGAGTTATAAATTTGCAATTGCGAGTCAACATCTTGCAACTATGACATTTTTCTCAAAATTATTAGTGTGTAAGTCACAATTTACCTTTTTCATTATCCCAAGGCAGAAACAGTCTTCCATAATATGTGGTGATATGTAATAGTGAGGTCAAGGGTAACAATTAGTAAATCACAGTGTCTCAAGCTGTACTGTAATATCTGTGGTAGAAACAGGAAGTTGGTGAGAGCCAAAAAGTAACATGGTTTCTTGCTGCGGTCTGCGGGCGTCTTTTTAACACCGGTTTTATGTTATCTCCCTCTTTCACATGTACATACACACGCTTATTTTAAAACTGAAGTTTAAGACTGAACTTTGAACTTTTTCAAATCATGATGATGACTCATTTACAATAACACCATACATTTGTATTCTATCTCAAGGTGCTTCAAGATGTATGACTTAACCAGAGCCAAAAGTGTCTAAATGGACAACACAAAAAGAATTAAGTGAAGTTTCTGCTTTGTCTAACTGATCCACCCAGCCATCTGTAAGTCATTGAACTCAAACCCAACGAGACTAATTACCCATGCACCATGTGTACTCATCTTCTACCCACATATATCACTTTCTCACTGAGAGAAAATTGGCTGAATCTCACATACGGTGACAGACAACAAGCTCTATTTCAAGGCCTAAAAAAATGACAGATCTGGAATGAAACTTACTTCAGGCTTGGTGTCCATGCAGTGGAGTCAAAGCTTATGTCGTATTTAACACTGTGGAGGAATCTGTTGAAGCATCTGACAAAGTCAGCATATTCTGAAGTACTATAATTACAGTTTCATCCTGTTTTAGTTGGCAGAGTGTAATATTTTATGTCAATTTAAAGGGGTCATATGATGCGATTTCAATTTTTCCTTTCTCTTTTCACTGTGGACGAAGCGGAGTCCAGCCCGGGGTCGTCACATGTGGTTGCCGCAAGCACGCCGGCCGCGCCGTTCTCTAGCCAGCCGGCCGCCGCTCACTCTTGCCCACCGTGTGTGACGCCGTGTGTTTCGTTGTGAAAGCGAAACCGCATTGGATAGCTGGCCAATCAGAGCACACCTCGCTTTTCAGACCGATGAGCTTTGTAAAAATCGATGTGTTTCAGAAAGGCGGGGCATGGAGGAGCAACAATAATGTACAGTATGTGGAAAATAATGTGTTTTTTTAACCTTAAACCGCATAAACACATTGCATTACACCAAATACACAACATAATGTTTTTTTTAGCAATGTCATATGACCCCTTTAACACAGAATTCACCTTCATTTTTAGGAGTGGCCCACAAGGCCTGTTGGGAAAACATGCCGTTTACACAGCTGTCCCACACATCCTATAATGATGATGAATATTTCCATCACACTG